GTTTTGAGAAACGATGTACAAATGCGCTTTACACAATTGATGTGTGTATGGATTGGGATAACAGTTGTATGAGCCCCTAATAAAATGTTAAAAAAATAAATTAAAAAAATAAAAATAAAAAATAAAATAGAGATCAGATAAGCAAGTGCTATTGTTCACAGGTTTGTAGGACTTACAGTTGACAGCATTCATTATGACCTTAATTTTATTGTGAAGCATGCCTGAACCTGCCAAACAAAATGTGGTCCCTTTCTTTTGATAAGTCAGCTTTAACACTTCCACTTTCTTACAAAGGGAAGAAATAGTTAACTTTGGGTGCTATGCTGTATACTGATATCTTGTTGGATTTTTCTTTTCTTTTCTTCCAGTAACTAAGTGGCCTGGAAAACAGTACTGTGAGAGCTGTATGAAAATCACATATTTTCTCATGCACAGTCTTGCACAACATTGAGAAACTGTTGCTTTATTCTCACAGAGAAATGTTTCTGTGTTTCCCCCCAGTGTGTTCCTAACTTCTTCTGGGAATAAGAATAACAGAGTGTTGATTATACTATTTATCCACATAGTTTCACCCCTGAAAATATCCCATAGCCTCTGAGGTCTATCTAGGCTTTCCTGCAGTCCAATCAAAGAGGTTGAGAAATGAGTGATTTTGTTTTGAATGACAGTGCCAAATATGTGTTTCTTTATGGGCACATCCTTCTTCAGTTTTTTCCATTTTTATTTTTAAATGTTTGTTGGAGTTGGATTATTTTAACTGACTTAATTGGAAGGAAAGAAATTTTATCTGAGTCATCACAGTGTTCCTCTACCTTTCGGGGATTGATTTTCCTCTACCAGGTCATTAATATGTACTGAAGGAAAACGGGAGAGGAAAAGGAGGATCAGGAGGCTTAGAAACCTGCATTGTTTCATGCTGCTAAAAAATAGTCAAGCCATCCTTGGTTAATTTAACCATTGACTAAGTGTGGTACTGTTTGGATTACTTATGCCAAAACTTGTAATTAGCTTTAGTTATAAGTGACAGAATATTCTAAATGTTCGTGCTGTAGACAAATTAGAATTGTGTCTCATGTAGAAGTTCTAGGGATCTTATGGAAGCTCCTAGCTCCTCGTGGCTGGTGATGCCATAATCCTCGATGTAAAGCTTCCATATCATGGTCTGAGATGGCCGTTCCAGCTCCAGCAGACATATCTGTATTCTAGGTAGCAGGAAGAGGAGGGGTGCCTTCCAACACTGCCACCTTAAAGAAGCTGCACGCACCACTTCCCCATATAGCTCACTGACCAGAACTTACTCTTGTGTACGGCCTCACCTGGTTGCAAAGGAAGCTAGGGAACATAGCCTTTATTCTGGTGGGCTTTGTGCTCAGCGACGTGTCTAGTCTCATGTTAGAGGAGAGCAGGTATCGGAGGCAGATGGCTTATTTCTGCCATAAAGGACATTATTTCTCCAATAAGTAAAAAAAACTCTGGATTTTTATTCTTTAAAAGGAAGTGTCTTCTGCAACATTGTGCTGAATACAAGGGAGGGTGCTGTGTTCAGCAAATGGCTTTTAAATGAAAGGAACTGACTTCTGAGACTTGATGGCAGTGGGGGTGGCTTGGGCTTGGTTGCAAAAGGAACTGCTTTGCCTGACATTTAATGAAGATATAAAAGAGGAGACCTTATATGCTGAAAACTAGGTTTTAAAACATGTCATTTAGTATGGCATCTTGACCTCAGCAGGAAGCTCAGATTTACATCTGAGCCTGACTTAACCCAGAACCAACGGAATTCAAGTCTGTTTGTTTTTACAATGGCCTTAATTTGGGGCTTGCAAGATTTGTTTGGTTGGTTTTTGCAATCAATTTTTGGTAACCTTAAAGCAATATTTTAATTATAGGAGTTAAGTCTTGAGTATGATATACCATACAAAATATCTCAGTAATGTGTAAGCTTTGTGTCTAACAATGCACGGCTCCCCCTTCACATACCCTCTTATGCCCTTCTCCCCTCAAAAAACCCAACTCGTGTGTACTGCAATACAGGAACTCTAGCAGAACAATTTCCCCACCCTTCTTCTCTTTTGTTAAAATAAGCACCTTCTCTTGGAGATGTTGCCTTGAATCAGACAAGGAGAAGTCACTGGAAATGTTTTCTATACTGTTCTACTCATGTACATAAATGTGTTTGGTTTTCACATTCTAGATTTCCCTGCTAGCTTTGCTAATAGTTGAATTGTGTAACCCTGTTGATTTTGTTGCACTAAATTGCATTAAAATGTTGTTATTCCCAGTGACACCAAATGCTACTTTCTGCTGAGTCTTCCATCTAGCAGGTTTGTTGAACGATTAATGAAGTAGATATTATCCCAACCAAGAAATATTCCAAGATGATTGCACAGTAATCTTGTAATAATATTGTATTTAATGAATCTATGATGCTTTTTAGCTAAATATCTTCAAGCCAAGTTCAAATAAAAACTTTTGCTTTTCATGATCCCAACAAAATGTGAGTTTCCTGGAGACCTCGAATTTGGCCTTTTATAGGACTAATAGCTAACAGAATGTTCTTTGTCCATTTTAGGATCACTTGCTGTTACCAGCTACCACTCATAATAAAACCACAAGACCAAAGATGTCTATTGTATTGCCAGCAATAAACATAAATGGTAAGTTGAAATTTTGATTTATGAATGATATGTGCTTCTTTTTTTAGCCAAGAGTCTACGGATTAACCAAATCACCTGGGCTATATACACCCATGCATTAGTTTAAAATTCTATCATTCTGTTTTAAAAATTACCATATTTTTAAAAGGAAGGGGGAAAATGCTATTCTCTTTTGTTTACCTGACTGTGTTATTTGGGACCTTCCTGGGTAGAGTCACGGAAGTCCTGTTGTGTTCTGACAGTGCATTAATAAGTAATAGCATAGTACTTTGAGGCTGTCCAAAGATCTTACGGCATAGTGTACCTGCTTACCACAAGAAAAATAAAATAGAAATCACTATAATCCAAAGCGGAAGTCCCAGGAGAAATATACAAAGTGCTAAGGAAATTCAGTGAAGGAAAGACTTCTTTTAGCTGGGTTCTCATGGAAAAGAGAAATAATCTGACTCTTTGATGCCAACTGAGCACAATGTATGTGGTTGACGTATTGCTTTCTTTAACACATGATACTGAGCTTTGCTGAAAATAGGAGTGTTAGCCATCCTTCTTAAGTCCTTTTATCTGGTAAATGTTTTGTCTAGTGGTAAGAATAGAATCACATGTATGAAAATGGAAAGCTCTTTATACTAATGAACCATGATTCATTTTACATTCTGATAGATGAATAGATGATCATATTAAATTACTAAATATAGCTATAAAGTACAATGAAACAAAATACTGGGATCCTAGATAAATTCCAATAAGGTTTCGTGTGAACAGCCACTGCCATTTAGTCAACTCCATCACAGAAAGGCCCTCCCTATCAGAGGAGAATTACTCCATGGGGTTTCTGAGAGGGAGCAAATTACCTTCTTCCATAGAGTGGCTGATGGGTTTGAACCACCCATCTGCAGTTAGTAGTCCAACACTTAAGCAGATTTAGTCTTGTGGGGTAAGTATCAAATGCCATTGTACATTTTAAGACCAGAGATGGCTGTAGAATTACAAATAGCGTTCATAGGAGGCAATGGAAAATATCATGACTTGGGTCAGTTACTCCTTAGTCCTCAAAGTGACAACCTCTCTCCTCAACACTTAAAGAAGTCTAAGTCTCGTGCAGCAGATTTACCCAGTGCACTACATCCTGTGATCTCTTGGTGCTGCTTTCATGAGCATTGCTGTGAATCCAAGCAAGATGAAGTCCTTGACAACTTCAACCTTTTCCATTTATTATGATGTTACCTCGTGGTCCATTTGTGAAGATTTCTTTGCATTGAGTTGTAATCCATAGTGTAGGCTGCAATCCTTGATCTTTATCAGCAGGTGCTTTAAGTCCTCCTCATTTTCCACAAGCAAGCGTGTACCGTCTGCACATCACTTCACATGCAGGTGAAAGTTGGACAGTAAATAAGGAGGACTGAAGAAGATGAAACGATGCATTTGAGTTATAGTGCTTGTGAAGGATATCGAACTGCCAAAAGAACAAAGACATCTGTCTTAGAAGAGATTGTCAAAATTGTCCTTAGAAGCAGGAATGGCAAGACTTCTTCTCATGTTCTTTGAACATGTTATCAGGAGAGACCAGTCCGTGGCAAAGAACATCATGCTCGGTAAAGTAGAGGGTCAGCTAAAAAGAGGAAAACCCTTGATGAGATTGATTGGCACGGGCTGCAATGGAGGATGGCACGGGGCCTGGCAGTGTTTTGTTCTGTTATGCGTGGGTCACTATGAGTTGGAACTGACTCGACAGTACCTAACAACAACAGCATGTTGTTAGTTTATTGAGAATTCTTAGAAGGCATCTTTATAGACTTACAATATGGATATTCTCTTGTTAAAATATAAGAGAATTAAGACACTTCCTTAGTCTTGTGAAGACAATTCAGAATAAATTTAAGGAAAAAATAAAATGTTGTAAAGAAAATAATCTTCATTTGGTAAAGGAAGCCACTCTTGGACTAGTCACACTACTCCCTCAAGAAAGACAATGTATTATCTTTCAAGAATTTGTTTAGGAGATACCTTTTATTCCCATTCTCTAAGTACCTAGGTTCCTCTGCTTAAGCTGGAGTACGTTTAACTCCTGGCTAGGTCATTCCCAATAGGACTATTTTCTAAGTTCCATCAAGGCAAAATTCATTTGATTTCTTTCTAATATTGAGTTCTTAGCATGAGACTGCCTGATTTTATTTTGTAACAGTAACTACCCATTTATGTTAAGCCAAAAGCAATACAATGTTGTTTCACTTGGCGTATCTTGGCCTAAGGATTTATTTTTTAAGATGAGCCCATCATAGATTTGGAAAATGTAACAATTAGAGGATAATTACCCTTTTCCTGTTTAAAATTCAAGTTAAAAAATATTGAGTTTTTACCACGTATCTAATACTGGGCTACGTTCCTAGCCTTGTCTCTGAATAGTTCCTTCACCTCTTGCTCTGAGGATACTTCCCAACTTGTTGTTAGGTACCACCGAGTCAGTGCCGACGCGTAGCGACCCTATGCACAACTGAACAAAACACTGCCCGGTCCTGCGCCGCCCTCACAGTTGTTCTTGTGTTTGAGCCCATTGTTGCAGCCGCTGTGTCCATCCATCTCTTCTAAGAGCCTCCTTTTATTTCACTGCCCTTCTACTTTACCAAACATGATTGCCTTCTCCAGGGACTGCTCTTTCCGGATAACATGTCCAAAGTATGTGAGATGAAGTTTCACCATCCTTGCTTCTAAGGAGTATTCTGGCTTTACTTCTTCCAAAACAGATTTGTTTGTTCTTTTGGCATTGCACAGTATTATCAGCATTCTTTGCCAGCACCCTAATTCAGATATGTATTGATGGTTCTTCGGTCTTCCTTTTTCCTCACGCACAAATTAAAGCCTGATTTTCTTCCCAGCTTCATGCTCTGACATGCCCTCCAACTGTTTTCTGACCTCCCAAATCTCCAGTCCTTTGAGATTGTTACTTTCTAGCATCTATTACATCTTTAGTGGCCACACACAAGTGGGCTTCAAAAGGTATGTGGAAATGTTTAATGATCTTTTAATTCCATTTTCCACATAACTTTTTGAAGCCCCCTTATTTCTCCTTACCTAACCTAAATTTCATGAACCACTGTCACCACTATCACCGTCTAACAAATCTCATTTTCTGCCTAGTACTTTTCTTCTTTGGTCCCATTTGTCTGGCAAAACTCCTAGTAGTTACACCAAACTGTCTTCTTGTATTAGGTCTACTCTCAAACAGCTAAAATAGCTAGACAATATTATTCAGCCAGGACAAGTAGATTCACTTAAAATTTATGACCATTAATTTTAAAAAGGCAATCAATACTAGTAAACTCACTTTCTCTCTCTCTGAAACAAGGATCTCTCACCTTCTTTTCTCATGGCTCCAAATCTCTTCTCACCTCCTTAACTGATGAACTCACCAAATGCTACATTGGGAAAATAGATGTAATCATAGAAGAAGCTACCTCATCTTTCCACTACCAACTTCACCAGCCCAGCTGTATCTACACTCATAAACTCTGCCTTTCTTCTTATTGCTCTAGAAAAATGTCTCTTCCACTGAGTTCTAATCCTGGATCTGCTACTTATTAAATATGTGTAATTGGAAAAGTTAATTAATTTTTCCATAATTCAGCTTTCCCGTTTGTAAAGGCAGATATGTATAATAGTGTTCTCCTTTTAGAGTTGGTAAAGGTGCTCTGGTGGCATGGTGGTTACTCGTTTGGGCTGCTCACTGCAAGGCCAGCAATCCGGAACTACCAGTTCCGTGGGAGAAAGATGGGGCGCCCTATTCCTGTAAAGAGTTACAGTCTCGGAAACTCAAAGGGGCAGCTTTACCCTGCCCTATAGGGTCAACTGAATGGCAGTGAATTTGGCTTTGGTTTTAGAGTTGGTGTATGAATCAAATGAGTAAAAATGCTTTGGAGGGGTTACCGTCTATGTTACTCTCACTGTCATTGCCATCACCCAAGGTCCATCCTTCCTTAATCCCAGACCCTTTTCCAGTTTTAGAAACTTTGTTTCAGAAATTATATTCTTCCCTCCCACTTGATCAATTTCTTCTCTACTGGTTCACTCCCTTCCACATACAAAATGTCTTAACATCTTTGGTTTTGGGGGTTGGAGGTGGAGGAACTTTTTGGCGCCATATCCAATGTCCCTGCTAGTCTATACAAAACTCCTGAAAGGGTTTCTTGTGATCACCACCTCTACTTGTTTTTCTCTCACCCTCTCCTCTCTCCACTTTAGTGAAGCCTTTGTCTTCTTCATTCCACTGAAATGCTCTTGTAAAAGGGTCATTCATCATTGACCAATATCTTCACAAAGCCGAGAGTCATGCCTCCATTCTTATCTTACCTGACAACATAATACTACATCACATGGCTGGCTCCTCTGTCCCTCGCCCCCCTCCATTTTTCAACCTGCAAATTTTTATTTTAAAAAAATTTTAATCTGCAGAAAAGTTGAAAGATGAGTATAATGACCATTTAGTGACCCTCTACCTAGATTTCACCAAGTAACATTTTCCACATGTTTTCTCTTTATTTGTGGGTCTCATAGATATGTCCATATGTACTCACGTGTACTTTCTTCTAAACCTTTGAAAGTATGCTGCAGACGTCTTGACACTTCGCCCCTAAATTCTTGAGCATGCATCTCTAGGAAAAAGACAATCTTCTACATAACCATACCAGAATGATTTTAAAACTTTAAAAGTTTAACATTGATTCAAGATAGTTAAATTTATAGCCCATATTCAAATTTTCACATTTGCTCTCCAAATGTTCTTGATAACCTTTTAAAACTCTTTAAGATCCAAAGATTAAATATTGCCTTCATTTAGGCTCCTTTAATCAAGATCAGCTCCTCAGCCTGTTTGTATGCCCTTGTGTGTGTGTGTGTGTGTGTGTGTGTGTGTGTGTATTAAAGACTTACACATTTTTTAAAAAATCAAATTTGAGATGTAATTTACATAACAATTAAATTCGCCTATTTTATGTGTACAGTTTAAT